CTCGCGCCCAGCGGCGGCGGCCGCAGCCCCGGGGACGCGAGGTGTGGCGGGGCCTGCCCAGGATTCCCCGCGACGGCCGTTCTGCGAGTCCCGCAGGGCCCGCACTCGGCCGGGCCGAGAGGGCCGGGGAACGGGGCCCCCGGGGACTGGCGGCCCGGGGGGTAGCGAGGCGTGAGCGAGGGGGAAACCCGAGGAAGCGGCGGAGGTGCGTGAGGCCAGGAAGTGCCTTCAGCTGCAGCTTGAGGCGCGGGTCCGGCCCGGAGATCGAGCCCGGCAGACCTCTTACGGAAGGGAAAGTGGTATCGTGAAGGTGCGGGAGGCACTGGGGAGGCGCCTTTCTTCGTGTCCGTGGCTAACCCTTGCGGTAAACCAGGCCCTTCACTCCCGCTGTGCTCTTATTGCAGAGTTCGTTTGCTTGTCTCTGAATTTTGCGTTAGTTGATTCATTGCTGGGCTGACGTTGAAACGGATGGATTTCTGTACAGCCTGGTTCCGACTGTGGGTGGGGCGTACGAATTTGAGGGTAGGCGGTGGGAAGATGAGCTGGGATACTTAACAATGTCTTAGGCACTTTAATGTGTGTTCAGTTGAAAATAATGAGGAAACCGTAGATATAATTATAACTAGTGGAATTAGGTTTTCTGAAGTGATGGTGGGTGATTTATATTTTGTTTAGGTTATCTCTTCAGATTCTTCTATGGACAACACAAATCGTGTAATGGGGAGAGAAAAAAACTTTTAAGAATAAGGTGAGGTGTTTGACTTTGTAATTATGTGCTTAATCCTATAAATAAGTAGTTAACATAGTATAAAAAGTTCAAGATCTAGGAATGGATATGTTATAACGTCAGTGAGCTAACGTCTTTTTATGTCACTGAATTATAAAATTCATAATTGTATTGTTGAAATGTTACTTTGTAAAATAAATGATTTCCAGTAATTACGATTTTCTTATAAGGCATTTGCAGTTGTAGTAATTTCTTTCTTCCAATAAGGAAGAAAGAACTAGATATTAGATGTCAATAATGTGCCAGGCAACTTTAGGTATCACTTCTAGGTTGCATATCTAGTATTAGAAATTTTTCATTTAAAATTGTGTTTGTCCTGAAAGTTGTGACTTAAACTTTTTATTCTGTTATGTATTCTTTTCAACCCATCCGGCATACAGAATTTAAACCATCTCTCAGAAGTGTATAGTAGAGCTAAAGAAGAAGACAACCAACCAAGGGTCATCCATCTGAAGTTGCAATTGTCTCACTAATAATCCCAGGACAGAGTTAGAGATCACAACTCAAGCAAAGGTAGATAATTTTTTAAATCCCAGCTGAAATTGTGACTGTGTATACAACCATTCCTACCAAGGTATTCTAATTCTCCACTTTGAATAGTGGTTGATACAAATGTGAAAGGTAGAAAAGCTTCTAGGGCAAAATAAAAAATGACACTCAAATCCACACTATCCTCATTTGCTAGATGACCCTCCCTTATCAACTCAAAAGGGAACAAAATGCATGGCACCTGTCATGGTTAATTTTCTCATTGTTTAAATATATTCTCATTTATTATGTCTTCAAGTAGGAGTCTTCAAAGCTGAAAGAGGGCATAAAATAGCATGTCACATTTTGTTTACATCTCGTTGCATATGAATGGATATTATCGTGGCTTCTTTTTATTCCTGGAAATGGCCAGGGCTATCCATTACCTCCCCTTCTCCAAGCATTTCTTGTATTCTGTGGCTTGTCTTTTTCTAACACCAAATTTGATGATTTGTATTTTTGGTAATTAGTACTTAATAGTACTAAGACTATGTAAAAAAAACAACCAAAAACACGATAAATGGGACTAGCTGTTTCCTAGAATGAGTGTATAAAACTCAAGATTCTTATAAAAGTTTGCGGCTAAAATTGACCTTGAATATAGGCAGCATGTGAGAATAAATAGCCTTTATGACAGATTCCACATGGTTTTTACTTTTATCTCCTACGCCTTCACAGCTTAAGTGTCACTCTTCTGGTTGTCCTAATTGAATCATTCTTAACTGGAGATATTAGTCTATTAAAATAATACTAGTTAGTACTTTTAAAAAACAACTAATGAGTGATAATGGAATTCTGAGTTAACTGATTATATCGTAACTTTTTCAAAATTTGATTAACCACATATTTTTTTCTCTTGTTCTCTTCTCCTCCACTCCGTCTTTCCTAACAGGGCTGCAAAGATGTTTGACATAAAAGCTTGGGCTGAATATGTTGTGGAATGGGCTGCAAAGGACCCATATGGTTTCCTTACAACAGTTATTTTGGCTCTTACTCCATTGTTTCTAGCAAGTGCTGTACTGTCCTGGAAATTGGCCAAGATGATTGAGGCCAGGGAAAAGGAGCAAAAGAAAAAACAAAAACGTCAAGAAAATATTGCAAAAGCTAAACGACTGAAAAAGGACTGAAGGAATGAACAGGCTCTGCAACCAGAGGAAATTCATTTGGGAAATTATGCAGCTTTGGAAGGACTCTCTAAGGTTTCTTTTCTGGATTATGACAGTATTTAGTAAACTGAGCCTGAGCATATGGAAGAATCGATCTAGTTCTGACCTCTACTGTAGTAACTTTTAGGCTTCGGTATAGAAGTCTATTGACAGTTATTGTAAATCAGCATTTATTCTACAAATTCTTTATAACTGATTTAGTCATTTGCCATTTTGCAGCTTAAAACATCCTGTAGAGAGAAAAAAAATGACTTTAGATTAGAAACTCTATTCAAATACTGGCTCAAAAAAGGGTCCTGTTTTGGACAAAGGAAACTAAGAATGTAAAAATGAGAACTGTCCTGAGGTGAAAAGTATGCTTTGGCTTAAAAAGAGATACAGTGTATTAATTACATCTTTTATCATTATTGCTTATTTCTTAGTCATTTCTGGCTTTCTCAAAGCAAAATATTATTAATCAATGAGTACTTCAATTTTCTACATTTTTCTCATTTTAGTCTTTCAGATACTGGTAATTCAGACATTCTACCTTTTTTAAAATCTAATTTTATAAAAAATTCTCTTAATTATCGTGACTGTATAGAGTACCACCTACTAACAATTTCTGTACTTATGAACACTGCCATTTACTTAGAGATGACTTATTGAATAGAGTAACACTATGATTTCAAACTTGGAGTAAAAATTCCAAACCTTGTAGTACTTTGGAACCAGTTTAGTCTTACTTGTGCTAAGAAGAAATTTGAAGTAGTTACAATGTCTTATCTGATAATTTGCTGATTATAGAGATACCACTTTTAATTTTTATTCCATTCTTTATTTGAACTCATGTAGTGATGTACTATAATTTTTGATCAAACAAGTTCACAGTGAAAATTAAAATTTCAAATTTCTTTTAAGGAATTCATAAAGAGTAAGTCATATTTCATAAGTGGTAAAGAAAGGCTTAACATTTGGAAAATTTTTGTTTGGCATCGTAGTAATTGGTTGAAAAAAGATAAATTATGTCAAAATGAGAATGTGTTGTAATTAGAAATAAAAAGCTAAAGGATATTTTCTTCCGTTAAGTATAACTGGAACTTTTTACTATGAAACATGGCTTTTATAAATGCCTGGTCCAGTAATTTTACTCACTGTCAGTATTTAATAGCTTATTAATATTTTCCTCATCTTTGGTAATGAATTTTAAATTACAGAAATTTTCCAACAGCTTTAATTTAAAAATGAAAGTAGATATTGAAATAAATTTGATACTTTTTTATAAAGTCCTGGGTTTGGGGGCTTTTTTTGGGGTTATATAATTCAAGTTAGATGTGTTATGGAAGTTAGACTTTTCAAAGGGTTATGAATTTCATTATAGCTAAACATACTTGTAAAAGTTGAGGGTAATGTTTCTCAAATGAGAACCTAAGGACCCTGAGGATGTTTATGGATTGGTATAAACTACTACTATTTTAGGTTGTCAGTTCCTACTTGATGCCACTGTAATCAACACATTGCAACCTTAGACACTGAAATAATTCAGCATTTAGTTATGAGCTAGTAATTCAGGTAATCTAGGATATGCTTTTTGTATTACTGAAATTAAAACAGAACTTTAAAAAAATGCTTAGGTTAAGATATATCTAAAATTTAGCTTTTGGGTTTCTGCCATCAAGCTGTCCACAAAGGAATTGATATACATGTCTAGAGTAAAAGTACTACAGCAAAAGATTTATTCCACTTAATCCTCAGTTATCTACTAAAGCTGTGGTTTCATCGTGACAATTTAAAGGTATTTATTTAACTAACATATATATATACATACATACATACATATATACATATATATATATATATATATATATAAAATATGTCTCTATTGATTTCAGAGGAAGGGTGAAGGAGAGAGAGATAAGAAACATCAATGATGAGAGAGTCATTGATCAGCTGCCTCCTGTATGCCCCCTACTGGGGATTGAGCCCACAACCCTGGCATGTGCCCTGACGGGGAATCGAACCTTGATCTCCTGGATCATAGGTCAATGCTCAATCACTGAGCCACGCCAGCTGGGCTGAAATATATATTTTTAAAGTCTTAATGCATGCCAGTTTTGTATTTGTTTGGCATATGCCATTTGTTGTTTTTTCAGCTTTTCCTAACATTTATGGAGACTTTTTATACATGTGAGGGCAATAGGTTTTACAGTATTTGTGTATCTGTGTATGTGTGTGTGTGCGCAAAAAGAGACTACTGTGAAACTGGGGATTCTTCAGAAAAATCAGTCTTCTCTCATTGAAACAAATCATACTGTTGTTGAAAGGACCACATTTACTATTATCCAGAATACTTTTTTTTTTTTTAAATATATCTTTGATTTCATAGAGAGGAAGGGAGAGAGAGAGAGAAACGTCAATGATGAGAGTGTCATTGATTGGCTGCCTCCTGCACAGCCTCCACCAGGGATTGAGCCCGCAACCCAGGCATGTGCCCTGACTGGGAATCAAACCATTTTCTCTTGGATAATAGGTCGATGCTCAGCTGCTGAGCCACGCCCAGCAGGGCCAGAATACTTCTTTTAAAAATTGCCTAGTTATTTATATTGTTTGAACTTCTGAGAAGTAATACAATCAATTACCTTTTTTGGGGGAGAAAAACAGGCTGCTTAATGCTTCCCACCCCCAAAGTTGTGTTTCAGAATTTGATCCATAGTGTCCATGTAATAAACATCAGCATGGTATTAATACTGTATCAGATGTGCAAGGGCATTTTTAACTTTTTATTTCTTGAAATTAACAGTAAGCAAACTGGAAATAAGCTTAGGAAGCTATGAGCTGGAAACCCAGTGTTGAAATAAATGATAATTACCAGCTCCTCACCCACTCCTTTGTTTATAGATGAAGTAAGGGAAAGTGGCGAGGGGCACTTTATACCTCTTTTAACTTAGAGAAGGTTTGATTCATATTTAGGAATGATTACTTTTATGTTTGCAGTTGGTTGTAGGATCATTCTGATTGATTTCATATTTGGAATAAATACATAAGGATAAATTCTGTATTTTGCAAATATTAAAAGGGATTCCATATTCAAATACCAAAAGTTTTAAAAATGCAAGGTAAAACTCAGGATTCATTCCTGCATGATATCTTGGGAGTCTTTTAACTTAATTTGATTATCATTGACTCATCACCTCTGCTTTTTCTCCGAAGAACACACACACATTTTGGGAAAGCCTTGGCTAAATACAGTTTTCATTTTAAATAGTGTGGTTAATGAGATGGCATTAAGGAAATATAATAGTACTGGTTCAAGGCTGATTAAATTAAGAAATATTTAAAAAATAGAAATAAATGGCACCCAGAAATCTGTTAGTAAAAGTAGGAATGGAAGTGGGTAGCAGATAATGAGGAAAATATTCCATTTTTGTTGATTTTTAACTTTATATATCCAAGGCATAGCTTTTAGGCTAGATTTATATGATTAAACCCAACAGCTGCCCGGCCTGTATGGCTCAGTGGTTGAGCATTGACCCATGCACCAAGAGGTCGCTGGTTCTATTCCTGGTCAGGGCACATGCCCGGTTGCAGGCTTGATTTCCAGTAGGGGGCATGCAGGAGGCAGCCGAATTGACATTTCTCTCTCATTGATGTTTCTATTTCTCTCATTTCCTCTCTCTCTAAATAAAAATCAATAAAAATATATTTAAAAACAAACCAACAGACAACACGTTTTCTATACTGGAGCAGTTTGTATAATGTGAGAAGCCCATGATTGATTAAAAAGTATACTATATGCATATATTATAGAGGCATAAGAAATCAGGAAGGATTTACCTCTGAGAAAGTACTTAATGTATATATGATACTGTTTTAAAATGAACATTTTTTGATATTTAAAAAAATCCATAGGTTTGACGCCCATCTTGAGATGAAAAACATTTTCATTTAAAAAAATTATAAATGCCCAAAATATAACTTTAAACTATGAGATACTATGGACAAGCTAATATGTTACATTTTTTAAAAAAGCTGTAAAAATTAAAATCAATGTAAATTCTGTCATATGTTAAGATGTCTATAAATGGGCTGTATATATGGCAAACATTTACAAGAGATGTATACAGAATACAATAAGCTAATACAAACTTGTCAAAAGAAAGATTCTAGCATGTTAGAACACTTACAGTTTTTCCTGTAATCTAGTATTCAAGAACATCTTAATTTACAATCAATTATACCACAAATTTTACCTATTTTTATGTTGCCTAGTGGCTAGTTCCTTTTTTGCCTCTATTGTAAAATGTACTAATGCTTTGTAATGATATAAAGAGACAGAATGGTTAACCTGATAGTAACAGGGCTGCTGGACTAAGTATTATCACCTAGCAGCTTTGTCATTCAATAAGTATGTTATAGTAATTACACTTGAGTACCTGTTTTAGTATATATTTTATAAAGTATTTTCCTGTAGCTTATTAAGCAATAACAATTTTTACCACCTACTCAGTAAAAATCTTAACCTATGTTTTTAGGAGTTCATAATTAACACTCGACCAAGGATTTCCTTATATTATTCAGAGCATTAAAATTTGGGTCATTTATTCAGTACATATTTATTGAGTGCCTATTATAATGCCAAACACTGAAAAGAACTCTATTAAAATTAGAAGTCTAATTAGCAACAAAACTTGGTTGTACACCAATAAAATGTATGACCTTTCAAAAATACTTTTGTATAACATCAGTGTTTTAATGTCATTTTACATTTTTCTTCAATATATAAGTCACAGGAATCCCCACTATCAGTGGAATCGCTCTCTTGGAACCCTCTCCTATTTTCCATTTTTTCAAAGTAATTTTTTTAATCTCATGGAATTCTAGTTACTGTACTATTTCTGTTTACTGTTCTTTCAGACTTTTGTGATGGATTGCCTGATTCTGTTGGCCTAATTCCTGTCTTCAACTCTAGCCTCAATCCATAAGCTAGCTTTTGTCTCATCTCATCAAGAGCATTATGGTTGGTTTGTGGGTTTTTTCCCCCCATTTATTAACTAGATTTTCTTGGCCTAAAAATGTTTTATCCAACTTTATGTCCTTGATTAGTTCTTAGGATCTTACAGAATGCCTCTCCAGAAATAGCAGTCTTCTCATTTTTTTCTTTTATATTTGGTCATTTAGGAGAGCTCACTATCCTTATTTCTATCAAGACATAATTTTGAGGGTTCTTAAATGATAAGGATCCCAAATCCTGAGCATTTACAGCTTCATGATACTTCTTATGGGAGCAACCCAAGGAGGGAAAAACTAAGCACATTTATAAACAGAATGATGACTAAGTCAAATGAAGTATTTAGTCTAAAAAGCTAGGTTTCTATAGTTTGTAACCTCACAGTACTTATGCATAATGAAAACAAATCTTTAAGCTTAATGGAATAGAGAACTATTGTACAGTCATAAAGTCACAAACTATTTACTTTTATTTGTTAAAATAGTCATATACATATAAATGAAACAATTTTTTACCACAGTGCATTCACTGATTGTGCCTTTTGCTATCTTGTGGCATCCAGGATCCTGGTTGAAAGGTTTTACCAGTGCTGGTGGGATCCACTGAGGGTTCATCCTTTCCAAAGTATGGAGCAGATGCATGTCCTTTAATCTGAGTTTCAACTGGTGGAGCCAAGAGTTCACTGCTTTCTTTACTAGGGAGTTTTTCTTTTTCATAAAAGTCTTTGCTTTTTATTTTAATTTCTTCTCTATATTTTTCATTCTTTAGTATTTCCTGTATGAATATATAAATGGAAGAAACGTAAATTTCTAGTTAGAAGAAAACCCAACCTACAGGTTTTATGAAAAAATAGCTAATAAAAAAATAAAGTACATATATGCATAATGCTTTGCATTCAAGTAATACATAGACATGTACAAGATAAGTTTGAAAAGCTATCTGGTTATATACCAGTGTTATGTGAATTAAAACAGTTCTGTCCTCATATACTATAATAAAAAGACGTGAAGGACCACAACATAGAAATATTTACTACCCATAAGTGAAACAAACTACTTAAGATGAAATATTACAAAGTAGCGTAACAGTCACTCTATCAAAGATTTTCTAAGCTTAACAGCTCTGCCTCAAAACTAATCATTAGTGATCATATTTTTTACTGTAGATGAAGTGAAGGTAAGATGGCCTCAGAATGATGCCCCTACCAGTCTCCCCTGTGGGAGTTAAAGCATGGATGCTAAGGCCACCCTTGGTCCTGCCAGAGCCAAGCCCTACTGAGTTCCTTTCTCCTCTGAAGTGGTATGGCAGTGAAGAGGAGGAATGGAATCAGAGTTCAGCATGCTCTTCACATCAGTTCCAGAAAGGAGCTCTGCAACTGGAAGTGCTTCCTCAAACCAGTGCAAGCAATTTGTGTAATGCAATCTATTTCTCAGATTTGCTCTTCTATCTGTATAGATCTATACACCAAATTACAAGGAATCTATTACCATATTTCATTGAATAAAAGGCCACAAAATTTAAGAAGCACCATTGTTATTTGTACCACTAAAAAAGGCAATTATAGTCCATCACACCTGGTTTCAGACATGGTAAAATCTGAAAAGATGTGCATCTTAAAGACAGATGAAATACAGTCATTACATATTTTTGTTGATTACTTCTTCCTCTTCTATCTTAATGATTATTTCTAAATGGGTGAAAATTTTAATGTTCTTTTTGCTATAGAATTTTTCTGATTTGTTTAAAAGAACATATTTATAATATGAAAAAACCTTGTTAATGTAACTAGTATCTGAAAATACTGACAAAACCAAGTACTCAAGTTAATTTAAAAAATATATATATATTGATTTTGGACAGGAAGGGAGAAGGACAGAGAGGTATAGAAACATCAATGATGAGAGAGTTGTCATTGATTGGCTGCCTCCTGCAGGTCGCCGACTGGGGATCGAGCCCGCAACCTGGGCATGTGCCCTGACCATGAACAGAACCATGATCTCCTGGATGCTAGGCTGATGCTCAACCGCTGAGCCACGCTCTGCCAGGCACTCAAGTTAATTTTTAATTTCAACACTTTAAAATATGGTGCTTAATGGCAACATCTGGGTATCTAAATGTATGATGCAATCTTGGTTTCTAAAGTGAATTTTAAGTAATATTCCCTTAAAACATAAGCACCAATATTTGAAATCCATTTAAAATACTGGTTTAGCCCGGCCAGGCGTGGCTCAGCAGTTGAGTGTCGACCTAGGATCCAGCCAATCAGGGTTCGATTCCCGGTCAGGGCACATGCCCAGGTTGTGGGCTCGATCAATGACTCTCTCATCATTGATGTTTCTATCTCTCTCTCTCCCTCTCCTTTCCTCTCTCTGAAATCAATAAAGATATATTTAAAAAAAATAAAATATTGGTTTATACTTAAAGGGAAAAAAATTTTGGGGGGGTTATAGTGTTAAAGACTCTTAGTTTTAGACAAAGAAGGACGCATCTAATAAAACTTCCCCCTCAAAACAAACCTGAGGAGAGAATATAAGTATTTTGCAATCTCCACAAAATAGACCAATTCCCACAAGTAGCTTTAATAATCACACTGTGAGGTAAGGGACAGTTGCTATGAGTGAGGGTGAGAGTAGTCTTTGCCTCTCAAAGACCCTGTAGAATTCTCAGGTGAGGTGACCATATATCACAAAGGAAACCCCTCAATATGAACTGGAAATAGCGTAAGTAGAAGAAAATACTTTTCCATGCCTCCGTACTCTTCAAGATCCTCTATGAACTGCTGTGTCTTTACAGAAGCTCTTTCTCTTGAGCAGAATGAAAGGGACTGAGCTGAACTTGTACGAGGAACCCAACACCGGTAGCAAGAGGCTACTGAGATGTTGGTTTGCAGCTTGCTTGGTTTTTGTTTGAGGATCAGTCACTGGCCTGAAGCTGCCTGTGCTTACTTTCTTTGCATCAGTTCTACTGCTGCAGTCTTACAGCTGGTGCAAGCCTCTGCCTTCTGCATAAAAGGCAACGGCCGGCAGAGAGCTGCTCTTTTTTCCTGCCTTCCCATAATTTCTCTTTACTCACCACTCCTTCCCAGTTTCTTTCTTATAGCAACTATTTAGGTGATGGAAAGTCAATCGGAAAATGTTAATCGATGTAACAGGAAGATGGAGTAAAGATTTCAGAGTTGAAAAAAGTGGAGACAATAATTTTTCCTAGGAGTTTACTTTTTGTCTTTTTAAACAAAACTAATTGTTATCAGACCCTCACTAACAGCTTCTACAAAAATTAAACAGAGCATAAATCATGTATGAATGGAAATCTAATTATGTAAGTATTTGGAATAGATAAAATGAAAGTAGGTAGAAAAACAGGAATTTGTAGACTTACAGATAAACAAGTCATTTTGTAAGAAAATCTATTTTACAGTAGAAATTGCCATAAAGCATAAATTTTCCTTATATTTCCTTGGAACAATATCACCTTAAGTCTCAATACGTTTATCAGTAAAAACAGTATGTTTCTTTCAGTGTTTGTATAGGGATAAACCAAGAGTAAGTGAGTCTTCCTTCACATAAATGTTTATAGATTTAAAATAAGTATTTATCCTTTTATATACTGCTTTTCTCCATCAATAAATATTTTTTAACATTTTATTTTAAAAAAGATGGTTGTGTGGTATTTTATCTGTTGCATTGTACCATGGTTTATCTAATGAATACCTCACTATTGTTTCCAGTATTTCACTTTTCATTTTAAAAAACTGCATTGTGATGATCATCCACAGAGTTCCTTGACACAAACAGATATAGTTTCAATTCCAAATCTACCTCTTACTAGCTGGGACACCAAGAAAGTTACTTAACTTTTTTCAGTCTCAGTTTCTTTATCTGAAAATGAGAATAAAGTGACAGTGCATGTATAAATATTTACATCTTAAATACTTATGTATATACTGTTCACATTGTTAGATCTTCTGGAAATTTCTTAATAGAAGTTAAGAATATGGGGTCTGAAGTAAGACTACTACCTGCATACAAATCCCAGTTTTGCCATTTACTAGCTGGGTGACCCTGTCAATGTTGCTTAACCTTTCTGTGTCTCAGTTTCCTCATTTGTAAAACGGAGATAACAATACTGTCTTCTTCGATGGGCTACTGTAGGGACTGGGAAAGAACTGGCTGCTGATCAGGGTACACAACGAAAAAGGATACAGGTAGATTTTTAATAGTGACTGTTCATTCCATTAAAAAATAAACATATCAAAACTTGTATCCATTCCTCTTTCTCATCTCAGGGTACAAATATAGTCTCAATACTTATATTTTAAGAAAATTTTTTAACCCACTATTTTTTGATATACATTGAGTAACTATTTATTGTGAAGATTTTGTAAATAGCAGAATCCCCACATCAATATTCATAATTTGCTGGGATGAAAATCTCCAACATTTTAATGTGCTACAGCCTCCAACCAAGGCAGCAACCATTACCACTGGACTGAGATCAAGTGTTAGATATAATCTACAAGTTCAAGAACAAGGTGGAGTAATCATTGCCAGACTAGTCCTCCTGCCATAAATAAGTAGAAAACTGAACAAAAAATAGTAAACTTTTCAGATAGTAAACAACAGGCACTGCAATACTATTACCCTCAAGAGAAGGGATACAAGTGAGATAAGCCCTGTATCACCTCAGCTTTTGTGTAGCAGCATGTTATGGGCTGCTGCACAGGGTCAGGTCTTGTTGAGCTGAAGAGATAGAGCTGGTTGGGGAGACTGAGGAAGCTGAATACACAGAGAAAAAGTGCTAGAAATCTGATAGGGGTCCATTTGAGTGTTGAGCTGAACATTAAGCAGTATGTGGGTAGGGTGAGTCTCTAGAGGGCCAGGAAGGTCAATTCCTGGCTGAATAACAACTGCAAAGCTGTAAACTGAACAACTGCTGGAGTTTTCATGAGACTAGGAGACATTCAAGTTTTAATTAGCTAGAGATTCCTCACTGAACAGGTAGGGCATTCATATAAAGACTTCGAAAAGATCCCTCCTTACGAGTAAGGATAAATTGGCATGTGAAGAGCTGCACTGTCTAATACAGTAGCTACTAGTGACATGTTATCTAAATTAATAAAATAAAATAATTCAGTCCCTCAATTGCACCAGACACATTTCAAGTGTTTAGTAACCAAATGTGACTAGTGGCTACCATATTGGAAAGTGCAGACAGAAAACATTTCCATCACTGCAAAAGCTCCTTTTGGACAGCACTGCTCTAGATCCACTGTAACTAAACTTAAAAATAAGTCTCCAAAAGTTTGCACTGACTCACATCTAAAATAATGTACTCCCAAACAAAACCCAACATTTTTGAAAGGAAAACAACAAAATCCAGACACTAAACATACACTATTTCATTGTCTATCATTCAATCAAGAAGTGATGAAGAAAAGTGTGATTCAAAACCAGTCAATAGAAATAGAACCAAACATGACAGAAATGATGAAATTAACAGATAAGGACTTTATCACAACTACCAGAAATATGTTCAAAGGCCTAAAAGGAAAATGAACATAAAGAAAAAGAAATAGAAACTATTTTTTTTAAAAAAACAAATGGAATTTCTAGAGGTGAAAAATACAACATGTGAAATGAAAAAAATGTAATGCATATGTTTAACAGGAGATTTGACACTATAGAAAAACAATGGATCTGACAACAAGGCAATGGAAACTATCCAAACTGAAGGAAGAGAGAGACTAAGTTGAAAAAGTGAACCAGAGCCTCAGT